AAATGTCTCATTTCTGTATTGTTTTCGTTGTCCACCCATGTCAATCAATCATATTGTATATTCTAGTGCGTTTTTAAAACCATTGTAACGTATGGCTTCGTAAGTTGACAGGTAATTTAAGAAGAAGCAGCACGATGGATGGCAACTGCCTCTGAGGCGTATGACCATAGATCAAATGACTATTCCGAAAATACTTAGCACAAACTGCAGGTCGTTGCCGAATAAGGTTGGTTACCTTTAGTTACTCCTATCCATAAATGTATGTTGAAACGCGAGTGTGATAACGCTACGGGAAACATGGCTTCCTAACCTGTATGATGATGACTTAGTCTGCTTAGATGGTTCCAGATTATTTCGACAAGATTGAAGCTTTTCGAAGAAGAAATGTGGTGGTGGTGTAGCAACATTAGTGCAAACTGGTCCTCCTCCGACTATGTATGCTCCTGCCTCTCTAACGAAACATTGAGTGCATTACCATCAGATGTCGTTCCAAACATCTGAGCAAATTCAAATACATACGTATCACAAACATGTATGTCACACCTGAGTGCAGTATCTCAGATTTGTCAACTTTTGCCGATAAATTCACTAAATTTGCTGCGCCGGTTCAAGGAAACTCCTTGTCTATTGTCTGCGGAGATTTTAACTCATATGACTGCAGTTTTCTATTACCATTGGGTCATAAAAGTGTGGTTAACTTTTCCGCTTGTCTTAACAACATCCTAGACTTCACTTTTTCGAAGGGACCTGGCATATATGAAGCCTATAAACGGGCTCCGTTGCTGAATTCCGACCCTAGTATTGTTCGTGTTTTGCCTGAAGTGTACGACAAATTATACAAGAAAGGCTTTGGATACCTTTCAAGGAAAACTCATTGCTGATGCTATTCACAAGAAAACATATTGCGTCTGAGAAGCATGATTATAGAGGCTGACTGCGATATATTTGCTGATGAAGTCTTAGACAACACTATCACCAGTATCACAAGCTATCTCAGATTCTGTCTCAATATCTCCTGCCCTGCTGAAACAATTGATATGAGATTTGACAGAATTTCCTCTCCTCATCTCAAGAGGCTTTGGAGAGAAAAGGAAAGGTTGCATAAGGCAAGAGATCACTCTAATGTCAAAAGGCTTAACTGCCTAAGTAAGTCTGAATACTGTCTACAACCAGAAGTTCCTATTGTGTAAGAACTCTTCCAATATGTGGAAATTATTTGGAGAGCTTACCGGCAAAAAACTGATGACAAAAGAAGCTCGTTAGGATGTCTGTAGGTTAAACAAGTCATTTATACGTCGACAGGCTAATTTCATCCTTCCTGACGTCCAAAGTCAAGTGGATACCTGCTTTCCAGGTTTTATTACAAATGACGTGTTTAAATGTCTAAAGTCCTCGAATCCCTCCCAAAGCTTTGGTCCTGATGGTGTTTCTAGTATTATATTTAGAAAACCTGCAGATATTTTATGTCATACACTTGCAAATATCTTCAATGTATCGTTTTCTAATAGCATAATACCCACTGCTTGAAAACAGATAGAAATTGTACCTGTGCCTAGGCCATCTTCTAGATCGGATGTTACTTTTCGACTCATGGCTATAACTTCCCCTTTTCTGAAGAAAATGAAGAAGTAGCTTCTCCTCGTGACTGAGCCTTCATTGATGGCTTTCAGAGATCCAAAAAGTTTACTTTCAAACACCGGAGGAGTACTTCAGATGCAGCCACTGCCTTGCATTATAGTATTGTTTCTGGTCTCGACAAAGGTGTTAAGTATGTTCGGTGTGCCTTTTTGGATTACTCATTAGCCTTTGACTCTGTTCCTTGACCACTCTTGTTAAATAAGCTTCCCACAGCTCACACCGAGCCATGAGTTACAAAGTGGGTACGTTTTTCTGAAAGGAAACAGTACACTATCAACAAAGGGAAGCGCTCCACTCCATTGCTTACTGAAGCTGGTGTGTCTCAAGGTGCTGTACTTTCCCCTTTTCTGTTTTCATTTTTTTGCACGATTTGCCCTATTCTATTGAAACTAATTTTATCAAGTATGCTGACGACCTGACGGCTTCTATTCCAGTCAACTCTTCCTTGGACTGCTCTAATTTAAGTGAATTCTTGTCAGAAGTTGGCAAATGGTCTCACTCAAATGGTCTCAAACTGAACTCTTCTAAATGTCAGACTTGAATTTAGCTCCAGGCGTAAAGAAGACTTGTGTGAGCTGCCTGCTTCATCGATGGTATTTCTGCAGAAAGCAAATCGAGTGTGAACTATCTTGGGTTGGGTTTTACTTCTGCCATTTGTTAGTCGTCCCATATTTTGTTGACTCTTGAAAAAATCTTTCGTTTGACCTATCACACAAAGAAATTGAGGCTTTTTGGTATAACTCAACTGCTTCTTTTATAGTCAATTAGTCCCTGCATTTTACCTACTCTTCTCAATTATTCTCAATCAACCTTTCCTGGTCTTCTAAGAAAGGACTATGTTATGTTGCGTAGGGCTTTGAAGACCGTCAGCAGGGTGAGTGGTGTGCCTCTCGCTCAACTGATTAACAATGTAGTTGATAGGCATATAAATTCCTGCAAGCTACTAGCTACAGAAATTTCAACGGACAGTGAGCACCCACTTCATTCACAGCTCTCTCCATGTGTCTCCTCGGTAAGGACAAGATGGAACTACATCAGACTGCATGCTCGTTAAGTATAAGAATTCGACTGCACCTTATCCAGCACGCATATTTTGTGAAGAAAAAAGTGTGAGGACAGAAATCAAACATCGACCTTGTAACAGCCAAAAATCCCACTTCAATAACTCAACCAACAATGCAAAATTTTCTCGTTCTTAACATTCTTCACACCATTTAAATTTTCATAATAAAACAATTCGAAATGTTGTAAAGGAGTATGTATACACTTATATTTTGCCGCCGTCGCAATATATCACTGGGAATCCCAAATTGTGCCACAAATTGTTTGGAACATAGTGAATTATTATTATTATTGCTGTTCCGCTTCATGGGACTGACTTCCTTATTCACGCCTGTTGGTAAGGGTATGAAGGAAATGATGTAGAAGCCACACTACACCCATTTATTGTAGATTTCAATGTCGTTTGACACGAAAAGTGGGTTCAAAATAAGTAGGTGACCTACCGTCAGTCTATTGGTGCAGTGGGACATCTAGACAAATCTCGCCGGTACCAATTTCGGTAGTGAACAGACTTTTAGGTCAACTAGAATTTTGCGACAGGTCTAGTCACAGAACAGTGCCCGTAGATAGATGGACTAGAGTCGTTGACCATCGAGGACGAATTGATGCTGTCTACCTAGACTTTGCTAAGGCGTTTGATCGTGTTAATCACCAAAGCCTTGTGGATAAGTCGAAATCAGTTGGGATTAGATTACCGCTCACTGACTAATTGTATACATATCTACGAGGCCGTCCATTTAGAGTTCAAGTATGTTCCTCTTTGTCTGAAGAAACAGAATATGCTAGTGGTGTTCCCCAAGGTTCAGTGCTAGGGTCCCTTCTTTTACTAATATGCATGAGAGACTTGCCCCAACAGGTTTCTTCCGAAATCCTCCTTTTTGCCGACGACGTGAAACTGTGTGGAGAACTTAAAAGTGGGGAAGACAATGTTTCCCTATAGGAAGATTTAGCTTCTAGATTGGGCAGTCGACAACGGTCTCGCATTTAATCCTGAGAAATGCTTGGTGATACACATAAAACACGATCCACCTCGTGTGCATAGCTGCAACGATATGGGACTCGAGGCGTCGCTGAGGGAAGGATTTTGGAATTTTAGCCCCTCAGGACTCAAAGTCCTATGTCAACGGCAACAGAGATGCATTTGAGGGAAACTCGACGTTAGTAACTCTCAGAAGAATTTTCGGACGGTTCGACCGTAGATGCTTGCATCAAATTTTCAACAGCTTCATGCGATTTCATCTCGAGTTTGGGGCAACCATCTTGCTCTCCCTCTCCAGAGCGACAAATAAGGCTTCGAAAGCATCCAGAGGGGCCCAACAAAATCTCTTCGAGGACTTTGGTCCAACACATATGAAGAACGACTGGGTACACTAGATCTGTATCCTTTGGAAAACGGAAGGCTAAGAGGAGACTTGATAATGACTCACAACATTCTGGGCATGCTTGGACACCTGCCACATCATTTATTGGATCTTAGCCGTGGCACACACAAAAATCAAGCCTGGAACATAGCAGGTTAGACATCAGACACAGCTTCTATTCCCTAAGGTTGTTAAACCCTGGAACGCTCCTCTTACAAATGTGATCCAGGCTGCTTTGTCTGAATCCTTTAAACTCCAACTGGACACTTACCTGGCACGTAGCTGGGATCTGCCCAGAACTAACTGAATTTTCACGTTTTGACCGTCACATTTTCCTCTTTATTCACTTGTACACAGGTTGACAACCACAAGAAGTAGTGATCCGTGGACTTTGGGTGGGGAAGCCAGCTAAGCGAAAGCTTCTTCTTGTATGTCAACAACCATTCGAACCATCTGGAAGTTTGGGATTCATATGCGTGCTGGAAAGACTGATGGAGGGAAATAGGTAAAGCGTTTATTCTGTTCACTACCAGTAATCATCGCGCTCCAACAACAAAGACTAACCAGTTAACGTTACTTACTGTTCCTTGTAATTTTTCGTTGCTACATCAGATCAAATAGATCGACCTCCATTCTTAGATGGACTCCCAGAAGGATGCTTCTAAACTGCCTGAAGATTCATTATGTTGTGACTTAGAGTCACGTTTGATCACATTTGAGACTATAAAACGGGATGTACTGGTATCCTAGTGACCCATGCTGCCTTCGAGGAAACTTTACTTCAGTACCCATCGCTCCAAACGTAAGATCGTTATCCACCAGGCTACTGTTCTATCTTGTTCCTTCAAGAAACTTGGTTAGAAGCAAACGTAATGAGGTCTTTTTCATAAATTATGTACTCAGTAACACAGGAGTAGAACTCAAAAGACTCCTAGTTCAATAGTTTTACAATACGAAATCTTCAGTAGCACTTAACAAAATGATTGGGATCAATGGAAAAATTGCCAATTGCGCACTTATTTCAATAGTTTCGCTACCGTGATGTCCTGTCGGACTCAACTTGCCGAAGTAGATTTGGGCAATTTACTGGTTGAGGATAAATGTCCCTTAAACCAATATAATGAAGGTATGGTATAAATTTCAAAAATAGGTGTGGATCTTAGCAGTTATTTCCGTAGCAGATGACAATTATCGCTCAATTGCATTGGAATGCACTCACCATTTTTTCAAAAACTTTTCGAGGTGAGTGAGCTCCTTATTTCCTTGATTTTGTAGCTACCAACTGAGACAAACGATTCAGTTTCGGTTTCTTTGGTAAGTAAACCTAAAGCAGTTGATAAGAGTGAATTTTTAAATTGATATTTCTTTTGTTATTGTAAAGTTTAATGTAATATTTTGGTTCTTACAATATTTATTTCAGTAACACATACAAATAGTCAGTGGCACTGTTGTTTGGCATTTCGGGCGGCTAGGAGTATAACTTAATGTAGACATCTCACATTCCGCAATATTTTTATTTTCTTATGCATTGCCCATGTCGTGCTCTTGAGGAATTCTGTAACTAGCATGATAAGCGTTTCCAGTTTTACATTACCTTCGATATTATGTTTGGCAGGTGAGTATGCACTCAGAAAGAACTTGGAGTGGCTAGATCACAACCTCTTAATCTCAGTCTTCCACAAAACAGTCATTTCAACAGTGTTCCAGACAGTTATCTTCCCTTTCAAAACGTTTGAATAAAATTTCATGCTAACTTACACCTAACATTGTACATGAACTTCAAACACATCTTCCATTTCACAGCCGCACTTCAAACACTGACGTCTCTTCACTTATACTGGTTTGGGGGCTAGCAAACGGTGAACGAAAAACAGATCTCAGGGTCAACGTTAGAAACTCATATCCAGGTCAGAGGAGTCGGCGCTTTAAGACGACTCCACCCAATTAATGAGAAAAGGAAAACGTGGAAAGTGTGTCACTTCAAGTTGCCTTATCTCACAACAGCGTGTTAAAACGGTAGTTATAACCATCCAGTCCATTGTTGGTCAGGATACCTTCAAAGCTATAAATAGAGTTATGTTAAAGTAAACGGAATTGCATGTGAGAAGAGTGAATAAGAAGACAAACGTTAACAGAGCATGTTTAAGACCTATAATATAAAAAAGTGTATATTTGGACATTAATGGGCTGTATTACAACGAGTCTCCAAACATTGGTTCATATTGTCTCAAGGACGTCTTCATTAGCCACATAGCTAACTTCTGTCACGACTTAGGCCAGCAGTCAATGATTACTTGAACTGATGCTACGTCTTGGTCTCACCATTCAGCTTTGTTACGACTTAAACATACTTCAGCTAACACGCGTCGTGGCGGCTGTCTCAGCCTGCTCCATCTCAGGAGATGAAGGCTCGCAGCTTCATCGGTTAACTTTCCTCTCACTACGGATAAGGAAAGTCACAAAGGCAACTATAGTGGAAGGCCTGCAACTTTTTCACTTATCCTTACTTCAGTGGATTACGGCAACCATACGAAAGAACAAAGCATAAAGCTGCGGAATATACCCTTTGAGAAGTAACTGGATGTCTTGCTAGTGCGGTAAGTTAGCAAGTGCCATATGGGTCCTCCGAATCTAAATTGACATCACCTTATCAACAGAAGCATTGGGGGGGGGATTCAGCTCCCTGAACAATTCCTCAGAAACAAAGGTGCAAAAGAGATTTCTCGGACAGCCTAAGGAGGTCGGTTTTCACAGGTGTAGATAGCTGGTACCTTGGGGCTTCGGTCGGGTTTGCAGATTACGACTTAACAAGCTCCACTGACTGGAACGCTTGTTCCTTGAGGTTCAGAAAGGTCTGTTGAATGGTGGTAAAAACCCAGTTATCTAAATAGTGTAAATTGCCAAGCCATAATGGGGATCCGCGGGTGAAGTTGTACTGATAACTGAACGGGGCGTGTTAGCAATATGGTGTTTCCAACGAATAACGAGCAGAAACAGACCAACAAAATCAACGTAGAACCTCACTCTGAAGTGCATTGGTCCCAGTTGCTGCATCGCACTTCCTTTTTGAAAGCGGGAGGTTCGCCCCAAATATAACACCCCTCTCTGCCGTTTGGTATTCCAGTGCTGGTGATATGGGTTTTCATTTTACGGTGTTAGCACAGTCGAAGTTCCTGCTTGATAGGTCTCAAGCAGATGTCCCATGGGCCCTTCGGTCCCCCAAAAGTAGTTCCTTTTCACCTTAAGGTGTGGAAGTGTCAGCCACCCGCACATTCCCAAAAGTATGAAAATTCAAACCAACCTTCTGCCTCACCTTCACTTCCCTATACGGGTAGCAGGCTTCTTCCTCAAACTGCTACACCGCGATCATTGCTAACGACTCAAACCAGCGAAACAACATTCTCAGTCTCTTAAAAATACGCTGCCAGTTTCACACCGAGGCTTACAACTTCCGGACTCAACATCAAGTCGGAAAACTAACGTTGTTCACCAAAACTCTGAAACCTAAAGAAATAGGTATATGCTGTGCTTGCGTAACTCATATATATGACCTAAGTATAATTGTTCTTCTGACCTCAAATAATCAATACAGTAAAACTGCAGAATTTCCCCCATGACTTCTTGAAGATTTTGTGGTTAGTGCTCGCGAACTCGCTGATGTAGGTAGAGCGTCAAGCTAACCATGGACGGAAACAGATCTTATTCCCCTGAGTCATCTTAAGACAGTTTTGGTGGAGCATCGCGACTGTCTGAGGTACTTACTAGGACTCTGATCACGTTAGTACGGTTGCGTCTGTTCTCACCTTAGTGGATGCAAGAAAACTACAGCAGCAAAGCCGGTCTGGTTGACCAAAAGATGTGAACGTCAAGTGTACATTTAGAGACGATATAGCTAAGCACTCGTCTAAACATGGCAGTGAATTTGCCCTTAAATAAGTCTGCCGAGGTACTCAATATTCTGTAGAAACAGTGGTAAACAGTTGGTAGCCTGCATCCAAAAGTCAATAGAAAAACAAGTGAACTTTTGCAAGTTTATGAAGACTGATTGACATGAGAAGACTTGCTTCAACTGCTTGTGATCACGATGAGAAGCGAAAGCAGCTGGGACGTAACTTGACTTGGAGTCTTCTTGATGACCACATGTAGTGGTGGGTGGTAAAAGCACAGGAAATGGAGGAGTCATCAACCTTTAGTAATGGCCAGTAATTTCTTAGTCTTTTCAAAAATACTGAGACGACGGGAACTAGTTAAATGGACTATTACCAAGAAGGATAGACCAATGGTAATCCGTAGTGACAACCAGCTGGACTGTTGGATGATGCACTTTGAAAAAGAGTTCAACTGGGCATATAGCCACGGCTGAGTTGCCCGACATCCACTTCGAACGTAAAAGAAAAGAAAATGTTTATCCTCCAACTCCCACTAAGATTGATTAGGGTGTTTCAAACCTGAAACGAAGCCAAATAGCAAAACCTGACAGTTTGCCACTAGAGGGTTTTACAGATGAAGGCAGAAAATTACTAAATAGAGTAAGGTAAGTACTAGCTGGTGTATGGGAGTCGGAAGTTGTGCTGTCTGTCTGGTCTACATCACATTGGTTCTTCCAGTTTAGAGGAACCTTTGTGTGACAACGACAGAGGAATCAGTTTGATTAACTTTTTTAAGATCCTGGTGTCCCCTTGGACTCAACTAGAGATGGAGAGCAACAGAGTCGAGGAATCCGGATAAGTTTTACACTTGTATCGATCATATCCTCACCCTTCAGCGGGTTTTGGAACACAGACACACTTGGCAGCAACCGATACGCACCACACACCTTGACCTGAATGCGGCATTCAACTCCATCAACCGAGAGATACTGTGTCAGTGTCTCATTGTGAGTGGGGTACCGGTTGTTTATGGTGCTTTTCAAAGCTATCTACTCACACAACTGTGTAGATGCTTTTTGAGAGTTGTCACGTGAAGTAACGATAGCTAGTGGTGTCTGTTGAGCAGGTCCATTACCATCATTTTTATTTAACTGCTTTGTGGGTGTGCAAATGGACAACACTGTAGGTACCTCAAACTTTACAAAGATCGACTTACTCCCTGAATAGTAACTGGTCAAAGTAAGTTTCCCAGAAAATGTAAACCCGTTAGGGAGAAGACGCATTTAAAAGAAGTCCCAGTACATTTCGTATGCGTTTGGCAGGTAGTTGCAAATGACAAGGCACCACCTACCTCGATGATCGACATCATCCTGAGTAGGATGGCAATGATAAAAGACTAAGCGTGGTCTGACCAAAATGTTGCACCACTCCATGTAGTCTCCGACTGTTGGTTTAAGGAGTGTAGGGAGGTGTTGGCTGCTTGACTGGAATCCTTGAGAGAATAAAGGTCAATGGGTTATGACTCTTGCTGACATGCCTGAAAATCAGTGAAAGTAGTGCAGATGGATGCTGTTCGAAGTCTTCTAAAGTTCTAACATTTTCACTAAGCTTCTGTTTTAATTTTTTCCCTCTGCGATACAACCAATCAATATCAACATAGGACCGGGCATTACTGCGTAACGGTCCGAGTTGCCACAGATCATATCAGTACATCAAATAGTTAGGTAGTGAGGTGAAAGATCATTATTATTATTAGTCCCTTGGGTTCCTAATAGAACATAGGGCTTCAGTAGCACGTCCCCAATGCACTCTGTTATCTGAAATCTTTTGAACCTCCCTCCACGTCAGCCCACAAGCTCTCATTTCCTCCTCGCACGATCTCCTCCATGTAACCCTCGGACATCCAACTCGTCGCTTCCCATCGGAGTTCCACTCGACTGCCTGACGCGTGATGTCCCCGAATGGTCTTCTCAGTGTATGCCCAATCCATCTCCACTTCCTTCCAATGCATATTTGTTGAGCGATGGGTTCTTGGTTGGTTCGTTCCCAGAGCACCTTGTTGCTTATTCTTACTATTCTGGACATCTGAGCTTCAGTAACAAGCCTAGGCAGTTGTTGATGAATGTCTGTAGTTTATTGGAAATCCCTTTCGTAACGCGCCGGCAAGTCTCTGGATCATACAGAAGCACTGACTTGACGTTGGTGTTGAAAATCCGGACCTTGTTCCACATGCTGAGTGCAGTGCAGAAGATCTCCACACTGGTTTCAGGCCAATGAACGCCTGTCTTGCTTTTCCGATTCTAACTTTGACATCCTTATCCGTGCCGCCCGTAGTTGAAACGGCGCCTCTTAGGTAGGTGAAGTAAGCTACTTCCTTTAAGTTTCTCCCGTTGATGATGATTGGGGCTTGTTGTTGTTGTTGGTGGTGGTGGCGTTGGTTGAGTA